GGTCAAAGCCGGTGCGACTCGTGACACCCTGAGCCCTCCAGTCCGGCATGGCTTCTGTTCGTCCGTCGCTCATCTCTAGTTTTAGCTATTTTGAGGTAATTTTTCTCTCACAAATCATCTCTGAGCTGTGCTGGTGTCTCGAGAAAGTAAGCCCTTACCACCAGATCCTCTAAAGGTCGAGTCATTACAACAAAAACAAAAAATCATATGAGTATGTCAAACTTGTATTTAAGGACTAAGTGTCATAGAGCTGTTTCTGCCAGTAGAGAGCATTCTCGGTGCCCCGAGCTCCGCAGTATTGGTTTGAAAAACTTCTGCAAACTTCGCTGCCACCTAAAACAAAGCCATGGGTTTCTACAGGGCCTTCAGGTTAAACACCACTGAAGTGCAATGTAATCGTAAGTGCTAATGAATTTCTGCAATGTAAACATCAAAATAAAGTTTCTGCAACACAGCAGTCAAATGCAGTTATAAGAATATAAACCTTGTTATTGTTAGGAGGCTGATTAACATGAGGTTTTAAACTCTCAACTGGATAGAAGCGTGTCAAAATAAGATCTAACATTAAAAGTTGCTGCTTGGTGTTTAGATCAGGAAGCCTGCACGGTTGTGAAATACTCTATTCTAATCACTGCTAGGCTTAAAAATGCAATTTATTTAAAAGGGAGGCTGATTTAACCTCTTTCAAGGTCTAATTGTATTTGTGTTTCAGCCGTGGTACTATCAATTTTGTATTAAACAAGAATCCTGTCAGTATGAGCTGGGCTGTGGAGGAATGGAAAGAAGGCCTCTCTCCAAGAGTCCTTCAGAAGATTCATGAGCTGGAAAGTCAAGTAGACAAGCTTAAAAAGGAGCTTCAGCAAAGACAATTCCAGTTGGAGGCAGCTTTGGAAAGACAGAAACGGAAGGTAACGTAGGTACTGTGGTCATTTCCCTAAAATGCCAAACGCAATTATAAATGCCTCCATGCCAAACACAATTATAAAGATTTATTATCTGGTTGTTGTTAGGGGGTGGTTTAATTTTTTTTTTTTTCTTCCCACTGACTGACCAGAAAGGTAGCATAGAAATATAAACTGTTTATCTTCATATTACTTCACACTCATCATATTCTCCCTTCTGTTTAGTTCTCACTGGCTGTTAATAGAATTCCTGCCTCCTATCCATTTTGCATGACTGTCTGTCTCCAGGTGTTTACGTTTACTTTGAGGCTTTCCTATACCTCTTTATGATTAGGAAAAGAAATTACTTTGTTACACCTGTTAAAAATAGTCATAATGATTAGGCCTGTTATATAAAACACAGCGGCACAGTTGACAGCCTCTTGCTGTTTCAGCTTGCCTGCAGGTACCTAGCATCTTTTATTTAGTTTCTGTAATTCTCAGTTTTTTCCTTGTAGAGACTGTATTTTGGGATTAGATTTTTCTCTTTTTAGGGCTGTAATTTTACACCTCATCTGACTCTACTCTGTCAGCCCTCTAGCCACGAAACCAGAGACCTTGGTTGGGGTCCTGCCATGCTTCAGATCAGAAGTGACCCATTTGGTTGAATTTTGTTTTGTAGTGTTTTAATACAACTCAGAGGCAATTTACAAATGTCTTTTATCTGTTTAGGCTGCTACAACTTTATAGCAAAAAAGCGTAGTAGTTTTCTTTGAGTTTCTTCCTGTGAGTTTCCAGGTGTTATTTCAGCCATCCAGAGGAACTGCTGTGCTTCCCAAACAAAAAGAAGGGGTGTACTTGAGTAGGTGCGCTTAAAACTCTCAGAAGCGGCAGCTGATACCACTTTTCAGTCAAAAGAATAAAATTGTGCAAAGATGTAACCTGACTGTAGCATGACCCTTAGAAGCTGGAGGGGAGGAGAAGAACGTCTCTACTGCCAGGCTCTATTTCCAATTTCAAAGCCGTGACTCTTGATAATCATTGTGCATTCTTTGTTTAATGAGTCAAGATATTCTGGTTGCTAAAGTTGATAGGCTGGAAAGATAAGCGAGATGGTCAGTGAAGAATGTGGACTGGTGTGGATTATTAGTATTTAAGGATTGATGAAGATTTTTGTGAGCTTGTGTCTAGTCAATAAATAGAAATTGTTAATGTCACTGAGCTGAATTTTAGGAAATGTGTTTTTGTTCACACCCAAGAATATTTAAACAATGTGTTTATCTGAGGTTTTCAGTGCTGTCAGGATTTTGAAATACTGGGAAGAAAATAACAGGAAGTAAACTTTGTGTTATTAAAATAATAATAATGGAACAGAAGAGTAGAGAGAACTTCAGACATTTTTGAAGTGTTCTATATTCCAACTAGGTTGAAAATGAGAAAAATGAAGCTGCAATACTAAAAAGAGAGAACAAGAGATTGATGGAATTGTGTGATAGTCTTGAGATAGCAAAGCAGAAAATTTCACGTGATCTTCAAGTAAAAGAATCTCAAGTCAACATCCAATTAGGGCAGCTGAATTCCAGCCAGAAAGACATCCAAAGGCTAGAACAAGAACTGAAAAGGTGAGGACTTGCTGTATGTCTCTGACCTGTGTACAATGGTTATTTTCTCATGTTTTTCTCGTTTAATGCATCCTTCATGGTCTTTGAGTTTCTCTTCATCTCATACTTCATTTGGGTTTTGTGACCAAAATCTCAAAACATTGGCCTCTTTACATACACGCACAATATGGACTTCTACGTAAATCTGTGTGCCACTTGAAGCAGTTAGCACCTATAATTTGGGGGAATTCTGCAGTGTCATGTGAAAAGGGAGCCATTCATATTGTGATTTTGAACAACAAAAAAAAGCTAGCACAACTGAGTCACTTGGCAAATGTAACCTGCAAAGAGCTTGGAGTTGCAAGGAAAGTACATAGACTCAATCTTACAGACTGAATTGTCCATCAGTAAAATATGAGTGCTGGAAGGAGGAGGCATGAATGTCTATTGGATGGTAAGAGGAAGCTACCAAAAGCAATGGTGCTGTGACTGAATCACTGAATCCAGTTGCTTTGGTAAAGTGCGTAATTCATAATGCCTCCACTTGTAAACACTATTATTACTGAGATGGTACGTATTTACTGTCTGTAGAGGTGGAATGCAATTTAAACAATAAAAGAATCTTCTATAATGCAGATGCATTTAAAATCCTTCATCTGAGGGTGTTACACAAATGGAACAGTTGCCCATAGTGTAGTGAATGTTGTAATATGTTAAACTTGCTCTTATACTAAAGGCACCCTCCATTCTTGAATAAAAGCATTTCTGAAACTGTGTGTGCACTAATAAGGCTGAGTATTCTGCCTATGCAATAAACTGTTGTGCTAGTACTAGTAATGCAGAATTACTGTCACAGAGAGAGGTGAGTCTGTGATAACAGGTTTCTTAATGGTTTTGTTTTGGTTTTGTGTTTTTTGTGTTTTTTAATGGCCTGAAGTATGTCTGCTTCCTTTAACTTTGGGGTGGTATGTCTCACACATGTCCTAATAGAAGCGAATAAAGAAGAAGATGTGTTGGTCTTTCTGTTTTTTCCCTTTGTCCCCTGGCCACTCATTCATCCCCTTGCCTTGGGAAAATTAAACATAGTTGAAGTACTTGACTGCTGTGAGAAGATTCTAAATTTCAACAAAACAATTTATGGCATATAGAAACACCGGCTTTGTGTAAGGAGTTGCTGAGATCTGTCAAAGAAGAATCTAGTGAGATTCAACAGGGTTGATAGAACCACACTCGTATTTTCTGTATCTGCTGTCAAGTGTTGGGCCAGAGAGGTTGCGGGCTAAGGATATGCGTTCCATTTATCCATTCCTCAAATTAAGTCCAGTTTACTGAATTCTACCCTTCCCATTATATTACTTTGCATAGCTGTCCACTACAAAAGATCATCAGTTACTACATGTAGCTGGATCTTGGCAATCAGTTTCAATTTTGTATTTGGTTCCATTTTGGTTTATGCTGATAACTGATCATTTACCACATTGTAGCAACTGACAATCCACTGGGAGAGCAGTTCTTGGTGTTGTGCAGTAAAAGGAAGGGGGGAAGGGAAAGGCAAGTTGTGGAGTCGCTTATGTGATGGGCTGCTGCCTGGAACCATCGTCTTAATGTGTGCTCGCTGGGCAGGATGGAAGTTGCTGTTATCTGGTGTCTTTTGTGAGCATGAAGAGTTACAAGCTCATCCAAAGTCACTAAGATGGGTAGTCTGCTGTGGTGTTTTGGGTAGCTGTGTAAATAGTACACATGAAACATATGCTGTTGGGTGGAGCATGTTCCCTTCCATTCTCATGAGGTATGCATAGGTTTCTCAAAGTGTGCAGTATCAGAACATACAATAAAGGTGCTATGTTTCCTACCATAAAGATGCTTGCTGAAGAGTAAGAGTTTCTTATTATCAGTGTTTACAGTGATCTGGGTGTGTTTAGCTGGACTGCAGCTTCATACAGTGAGATCTGAAGCAGTTCTGATTTTCATCTACTTTGGGTTTGTTTTTTAGCTTTGACTCCTATGTAATTGATTAAATATGTTAAAACTCTAAATACAATATATTCTTCATATTTCTGCCTGAAAATTTTCAGTGGACATACCTTAACTTGATCTTTAAACTGTGTTCTTAGAATCATATAACTTATTTGTGTATTTCAGGCTCTTAAAAATAGATAATTAAACTTTTAGTTTCCATTACTAATTTCTGCCGCTGCATCTTTCTTAAACAGATACAAATGTGAGCTTGAGAGAAGTCAGCAAATATCAACTGCAGGAGACACATCATTCAGTGGCACTCCACAGAAAAGTTTTACTGCTACTTTAACACCAGTTCAAAGTCATAATGGTAAATGATTCTTTTTTTTCTTCATCTAGCACAGATAGTTAGGTTTTCCGTCTTCCAAGAAAACTGACAGAGTATTTTGAACATTCCACTTGTACTGAGTTGCCTAGTCCCCATCATATAGCTTATTATGAGAGTGTCTAATTCATAGCATCATAGGTTCCAAGTTTAAAAATTATTAGTGCAGATTGAACACTTATTGCAAATATTACATCTCTTCAGCACTACGTTGATGGACATGGGATAGTAATAGGAATATCTATCCACAGACTGCAGCAATTTTTTGGATGCCTGTTCCTAGTGTCAGCTCTTCCCTTCACGTAGTGAAGAGCCAATTTCTTCCTTCCTGTACTACTTCAACTAAAGTTCAGTCAACAGACATATGTGTCATTTCTTTAGAAAAATATTTTTTATTTAGACTATTATTGTACATGATAATCTGTGCAATTTATGCACTGTATCCATTTCAAAGCATTGCTTCTATCTTCAAATTTGTGACATGACAGAGATTTAAAACATTTGAATGAACTGGAAAAGCAAAAGGAAATTTCCTTAACTGGAGAGCTGTTCTGTAGCTAGATGCCCTTATGCTGTCTATGCTGAAAAACTTTGATGGATTCAGTATTACACAGGCTGTTTTCCTCTTTTGTTGCTGTGAACAAATGTTCTCTGAGTTTGGCATCTCAGTCTTATTCTGATGGGAAGTCTGAGATACTTTCTTGCACTCTCGTTCCTTTTGATATCTTTATACATGCCTGAAAAGGGGAACAGTAGTGGTGATGTCAAGCATTCCACTAAGCGTGGCACTCCTGAAATGAGGATTAGATTAAAATTATTTAAATAACTGTATTTAAAATGGTATTGCTGTGAAGGTTTTTTCCTTTGAAAGCTGGAGTCTTAAAGAATTTAAGATCATAGAATATCTTAAGTTGGAAGGGACCCATAAGGATGATTGAGTCCAACTCCCTGCTTCTCGCAGGACTCCCTAAAACTAAACCATATGACCGAGAGTATCACCCAGATGCTCCTTGAACTCTGGCAGGCTTGGTGCTGTGACCGCTTCCTTGGGGAGCCTGTTCCAGTGACTGACCACTCTCTCAGTGAAGAACCTTTTCTTCATGTCCAATCTGAACTTCCCTGATGCGGCTTCATTCCATTTCCTCGTGTCCGGTCCCTGGTCACCAGAGAGAGGAGATCAGCACTTCCCCCTCCACTGCCCTCCTTGAGGAAGTTGTAGCTTGTGATGAGGTTACCCCTCAGCATTCTCTTTCCCAAGCTGAACAACCAAGTGGCTTCATCCACCCCTTCCAAGTCTTGTACTCGAGTCCTTTCGCCACCTTGGTCACCCTCTGGACACACCCTAATAGTTTGATGTCATTCTTAAATTGAGGCACCCAAAACTGCATACAGTACTCAAGGTCGGGCCGCAACAGTGCGATGTAGAGAGGGACAATCACTTCCCTCAGCTGCTCGCTAGGATGCTACAAAGCATTCTAGTTGTAGAATTTTTCTGAGAGTTGGAGAATTATATACAAATTCAAGAAAAGGGAAGCAAGACTTTTGTTTTGGACTAATATGCTCCTCTTATGATTTCAGCAGAAGAATCCTAAATAAATTCTTTGTCCAATTTCTATTGCATTTGAAAGGAACTTGAGGAAAACATACAGCCTTATTTTCTAGTCATTTGTTAGTAGTATTAATGCTATTGCGCTGATGGTAGGAAAACTTAAACCAAGAAAAAAAGTAAGTATATAATGTAATACAGGTATGTTACGTATTTTTTTCAACATATGTGTATATATTCTACATATACACACGTATTTTTCAGAGAGAGATTAAAAAATAAAATTCCGATATTGGATCCTTTTAACAGTTCTGTTTTCATTCTAATGTCAAGTTCCAGATATCCCACTGGTGTATTTTTAAGGTCCTAAATTACTGAATGTATCGTATATACAGTTGTTTCTTCCTCATGATCTGACACTTCTGATAGCTGTTCATTTTTATCATTCCTGTGATACCAATAGGCTAGAGAAGTTTACCTACGTACTAAGTTAGATTTTGAAGAAGTATTCATCATGTCTTTGTAGATGCTAAGTTTGAAGAACTAGAAGAAAAATACAAGAAAGTACAAGAAAGAAAAAAGCTAGAATTAGAACTGAGAACCATCCAATTTAAGGTAAGTATCTCTTGAGAATGGTATGTGTGGTACGTAAGAAAGCAACTACTGAGTGAACTTGGAAAATGGAGTGGAAAAATAGTGAAATATACTTTAAGTGATGTAGAATATAACTTAAAAAAATAATGAACCAGTGTGTACTGCTGTTCAGAACTAATCTTGGAGAATCCAGAAAAGCTAGCATAATTGAATAGCAAAGGAAAGAAGGACATGAAAAATGAGAACACATCCTTCAAAAACTGGAAGTCTCATGTAAGCAAGGACAAGAGAAAAGTGTCAGTTTTGCCATGTTAAATGTGCTAGGATAATAAAAGAGCCTTGAAAAGATTTTGAGAAATAACTCATCTAGGAAATAAAAACTAGTAAATTTTTCAAACACGTAAGTATTGGGAACTGTATTAGGGAATCTCTGAGGCCAATAGATGACTAAGATGTGAAAGCCCTCAAGGAGAAAAAAGCCATTGCAGAAAAACTGAAATAGTTTTTTAGTTGGCTTTTACTATCTAAAGGTTTAAAAAGTTTTCTATATCAGAGCCTGCCTTTATTGGAGTTGAATCTGTGGTACAGCCTCAAATTGAAAAGTCAGAAGTAGTCTTAAAAAAGATTGATAAAATTAATAGTAATAAAAAAAATCACCAGATACAGATAATATTTACCCATGAATTGATAGGACACTGCAGTGTGGGACTGCTGAATCACTGTGATGTGCAATTTATTTCATTCTTCTCTTGACACTGGAAGGTGATAAGGATGATGCCATTTTTTAAAAAAAGCTTGCAGTGCTTATTCCTGGAAATGTAGTCTGATCAGGCCAACTTTTTGTCCTGGGCGAATTGTTAGAAACTTAAAGCAATATGTTTATTGATGCATACGTAGGTATGATGTATGGAGGAAAGATCAACCATTTATTTGTAAAGAGAAATCATGCCTCATGTATTTTCAGAGTTTTTATTTTTTTAAGAATAAATCAGAGACTGAGAGTTAAGTGTGATTCAGTATAATGTCGTTGGATATCCACAAAACACTGAAAAAGCGAAAGAATTTTGATAAGGGGGAGTTGTTCTTGTGAATTTAAAGGTAAAGATTGAGGGCAGTGTCAATAAATGGTCAGTTTTTACAGCTGGGGAATGATCAATAGTGGAGCCTGAAAAGGACTGGTAAAGAGAACTGTGCTATTCAGCATATTCATTAGTGATCTGATAAAGAGATGAATGATATGGTTGAAGAACACACAGTATTTTGCAATAATTAAGATGGTAAGTAAAATTCAGTGTATTAAAAAAGTGAAGTAGTGCATCTGGAAAACATAATGTGAAAAATGCATACTTGGTACATTCAGATTCCAAATTTAATGACATGACTCCAGGAAGCAATTTGGTAGTTATTGTGGCTAGTTCTGTGAAAAATTCAATATTGTGTTCAGCAATGAAGAAAAAGAATTTTTTAGAAAAAGAATGAAGAACTAATGCAAAAATATTCTTTGCCTATATGTAGCCAAATGGCTCTCACATCTTGAATATTCCTTCCAAATTCTGTTCATCTCATCTCCAAACAGATATGTTAGAAGTGGACGGTAGAAAGATGAGTGAGGATCAAGAGAGGAAACGGGATGGTCCCTTTCCTACTTCTCATAAGGCATAATTACAGTACCAGCTCTGCAGGCTCAGAGCGAAAACTATTTTATTACACTGTGCTGTGTTAAATGGCAGAACTCTGTCAGAGTATTGTAAAAAGATCGAAATGAAAACAGATCCAAAAAAGAAACTACATGTAAAGTATTTGAGTAAAAATTATTATTAATTCTCCTTAATTTCCTGGTCTCAAACTTTTGTCTCAAACTCTCTAAATGGCATATAAGGGGAAAGATTGCTGTATGTATGGTTAGATTTTTATGCTCTTCAGCTATAAACAAGTTACTTTACAGGATTGGACACAGCATTCTGGACTACATAGATTTCTGATCCTAGCACAGCTATTCCTGCATAAAAACATATTCTCTGGTTGGACTAAGAACTCACACTGCATATTACCTGATTTAGGGATTTAGTTTAAAAAAAAAAAAATCAAATGAGAGTAATTTGAAAATCCAGTTAAAAAATACAATAGGGGCTTTACTGTTTGAGTTTCTTTTTTTTTTCACTTGAGAAGAAGGAAAAAACACCTAGTATTTTGGCTCTGTTTAATTTTTTCTGTAGCAAGAGGTTGAAAGCTGGTACCTGGCGTATTTTATTACTGCCATTTTGGGGTATTCTATGTGTATAAGTCAAAATAAATGAGTCTGTTCAGTCTTTACCTATGTTTTTCCAGAAGAACTAAATGTGGGTCAGGTATCAGATATGTTAGTCTAGACTTCTATATTTCTTGCAACTTATTTGTGTCAGCATTTGCCTGCAAAAATGTAGGCTTTGGTTTTTTGAAAAATGTAGGAGGTAAATGATAGGATCTCTCTTGAAAAAGACAGAATGTTACTTAAAAAGGTACACAGATTGAATTACTTTTTTGGAGATCCTGGTTTGTGTTTATAAGTGTCAGCTATTCTTGGATACTTGGGCTAAAGTTACTTAATTTATATAGTATAAAAATAATTATATGAATCAGCAGTTTGCACTGGTGGATGATGTGACGTTATAAAAATGTGAAATGACCATGACCTATTATCTACTTATTAATAACTAATTATTTTGTTACATGTTGGATATGGGGCTGTATAAAGGTAGATTTTTTTTTTTTTTTTTCTTGGACGCAGAAAGAAAATCAGCCTTACCCTCAAAGCTCTTTGACTCACAGGGAGATTGCTCGGCAGCAGGCTTCCTCATCTGTGTTTTCATGGCAACAAGAAAAGACACCATCTAGAAATCAAGAAACACCTGCAAGGAGAAGTTCTACAACATCCTCTTTTCCAAGGGAAAAAGAAACAAATTCTAGTATAATATCGGAGGAGAATGAGTTTGACAACAGCTTTGCTGAGAATTGTAATTCTTCACTCATCATCCAGCTAAAAGCACAGAACCAAGGTATCTGATATATTTCTTTAAAACCTAGAGGTGATCTTCTGTATGGTTTCATGAAAGCTGGTGTGTGGATAGAAGAGAGGTACTGAAATTAGTGCTTTAGCAAGGAAAAGAGAAAGATACCTGTTGTTGCCTTTGGCAGCGAGCCCAGTTGACTGCTGGTGTGTGCGTATTTCAATGATCAGCTAGTACATAGAGATTATCCACAAGCTGTGGTATCTTTTACAGAAGAGGTGTGAGAGAGGAGTTTGTATTTTTGGGGTGCGTAGGGAACGTCATATGAAAGGAAAAATACCTTCTTCAATAATTACATTGCTCATGGAACTGCTGAGAATTGCTCATTCTCCTAAAACAGAGTTAAAAAACTTCAGGATTTCATTACATCTCACTGTTCAATTCAATTATATTACTTCCTTAATTTTGTATGACTCTTGAGATTTTTATGGCTGAGCAATACCTGTGTTAAAAATTCATTTATTGAACATGCTTAATGCATAACTGAGTTGGTCCACAATGGATGTTACTGGAAGTACAAAATGAAGTATGATGCAAAAAGTACAATGAAAAAGCAAGATATGATCTTGTATTGTGCATATTCACATGAAGAAATAGTCATTCGTGATATCTGATAACTGGAAGAGACCAAATAGTTGGTTTGTTGTGGATTTGGTGAACATTTAATTAAAATTTAATAACTTAAGCTTACTATTTGGTAGTATGCTTTTCAACTGTTTCTTGTACGACTGTTTTATAAGTTCCTGTACTCTCCAAGCTGTTTATTCAAATACCTACATGTAAAACTTCAATCTAGGTGGCATTTTCAACTTGGAAGCCATATAACTTCAGCATCAGGAAGACAGTGGGGTTTTTGGTTGTTGTGGTTTTGTTTTTTTTCCTTCTTAACAAAAAGAATTACCAGATAATAGAAATTCTGGATAACACTCCATTAGCTGACTAATGTTTTCTACTGTAAAATTATGTTGTGATTTTGGAAAGTAAACTCTTACTGATGTATGTTTTAACAGGGACAGGAAAAAGATTAAAATATAAAATACTGTATTTACAGATGACCAACAGCTGAAAAGCCTCTTGGAAGCAGAGGCTCACAGTTGCCCCAAACAAATGTTTGTAGTAGTATCCTTCCTTTTAAAAATAAAAAAATTAAAATAGATATGTCAAGTGACATGTTTCTGTGTGTTTAAAAACAACAACCAACCAATCAAAACAAACCGGCAGAGGAACAAATTGTCTTTGCCTTGGCAGTGTTTGTGCCTGACCTCTTACTTTGCTGTGTTCTCATATATTATGAACTGGAAATTATTAATTTAGAGTCAACTATCTATCAGTCTTGATAGTTTTAGTCATTGATATAGTAGTAGAAGAGAGTTTAAACTTTTGGTGTAACTTGCTGAACATTTTACAAGGTGTCTGTCTGTGTCAGGAACTTGGGTTGTTATCAAACATACTAAATATTTTAGAATGTGTAGACACTTGGAAATTTGAGTACCTGGAAGATGTGCCTTTCAAAGCAGAAAGTATCCTTAATCTTTACTGTTTTAAAAATTCAGAGTTAAATTCCACTGTTAAAGACCTAGAACAACAACTGCAAGCTGAAGAAAGAGAGAAGAAATCCTATATGAATAAACATAAAGATACTGAACTGCAGCTGGACGGAATGAAGTTGGAATTAACAGAGAAGGATGAAGTTCTGAACAAAACCAGAGATAAACTGACTCAAATGAGAACACAACTTGATCAAGCTACCACACAGGTAAAATATTGTATCACGCATCTTCTGACTGTCCTTACAATTCATTCCCAGTATTAACGTGTGTCAGTTTTCAGCCATTTTAGTAAGAACCAAGTTTCTCAGGTAAGTTTCTTGAACATTTGCTGAGGATCAAGTTTTGAGTATATGTTAGTCTGATATATGTTACCTGTAAATATGCACAAGCAGTTGCCCATTTTCAGAAGGTTCTTATACCACCTGAAGAGATACTTTTTCATCCTCAGGCAAGACTGACTGGAATTCTGAAAAATATTTTCTGATCAAGTTGCGTAGAACAACAATGACATCTGGTGGCAAGTTCAGACCTTAGGTAGACTTTGTCATGCAACTTCGTCTGAAAATCAGTATCTCTTGTTTATTCTACAGGGTATTGTGGGACATAGTCTTTGGATTGTAAATTACTTGTGTAAAATTAAAATCTAGGTAAAAATGCCATGCAAGATTGAGAATGTATGTAGTTTCTAAATGGGATTTCATGACGTAATCCTAGGGAGTTTGGATTCATAGTAAAAAACCAATAGGATAGTACAATTTGCTTAGTCAAGAATTTACAGAATGTGTTAGAACACATACATGTAAAAAAGTGAAATAGTTCAGACTCTTGCTCATAATCATGCGAAGAAGAGAATGACAGTGTTTAATATTATGTAATTCAAACTGTGGAAGATAACAAGTAAGAAGAGTTTTCTCTCTTTCTTGATTAATCAAGTTGCATTACCTTCCTAAAGTCCTTTTACACAGCATCTGACAAATCTGAAAGTAGTGCACAGATATCATAATTCCTCAAATCTTTATCTTTCCATCTATCTTGTTACTTTTTTTTTTCTACTACTGTGATTAATCCAGAGGATAGGAACAAAGATGTTTCTGTGTGTATCTTCTCAGGGTATAATAATTCTTACCCATCTTTGTCAGCAAGTTTCTACATGCTACCTAAGTATATTGGTAAACTGCAGTTTCCCACAACTCCTGTATTGGTCCTTAAAAAGTAAACCTTTGCATGTTGAGGGTTAATCAGTCTGCCTTTTGAGAGAGACAGCAACATTTGACTGTTACTAGCTCTGTGAAGAACTGGTTTAGGGAAAGTCTTGGCTTGGGAGTAAGGTAAAATATTCTTGACGTGGTCCATTGATTATGTAAAGGCACCGTCATCACAGTGAATTTGTGAGAAGATAGCTGACGCAACCTAACAGCTTAATTCCTCTGAAAAAGTCTTTCTTCTCATTTATTTGATTTCCCAAATGACCTGATTCAACTTCCTAAATGATTAGGATATTACATATTTAATTTTGCCTTGTTAATTTTCTACGAGTTTAAGAGAACTGAATCATTTTTCTGAGGAATCAGAGGCGCATTAAATCCAGCACAAGGGAAAGGGCAAGGTTAAATAGCTAGGAACATGCCTGAAAAGGACGAGGAGGAGTAGGACTGGCTGACCCCATTCGAATTGAGATGAAGCCCATCCTTGAGGTGTAGTGCAGCATCTTGTCCCAGAAGGTTCCTTTGGTCCTGCCATCTGAAAGTTGCTCCTTTCTGTTCTGTTTCTTCTTTCTCACACTGAAATTGGATCTCTGCCTATCCCCCGGGCTTGGATGTAGAACTGCATTGATAATCTGGATTTTAGTTTCCTGTCTCATAGCCTGAATTTAATTTTGGCACACCCCTTGTGCACTTCTGTGTCACTGGTACTATTCACAGACCTTGACCACATCACCTCCTCTGAGTTATCAAGTATTTTCACATCTTGTGAGGTCTGCAGCCCTGCTGCAGGCAAGTTTCCGTGTGATCTAAAGGAGCTCACGATCCGTGCAGTCTGTACCTAATAACCAGACATGCCAATACTACTACCTGCTTCTTATTTTCTTATGACACAGATGGACTATTGTTTCGCTAACTCATTAAACAGCCCTGGTTGCTGGAAAAGAATAATGTCCTGTTCATTTACCCACGGGGAAGAAACAGTATTGTACGTATTTTGCATTAACAGATTGGTTTTGGAATAAAAATGCATTTTTCTGTTCAAAGTTAGGTGGTCATTGCTTCACTCTCTTAGGTAACGTAATATTAACATAATAAACTGGATTAGATAACAAGCTGACATACTCTTAACATGGAGGTTAACCTAGAACATAGGCTACTGATGGTTTGGTGGTTTGTTTTGTGGTTTTTTTTTTGTTTTTTTTTTAATTGAAGTTTAAACTGTGGAAAACACTCTTTGGTTGTTGTAGAAGTAGACTGAGATAGTTGCCTCTTTCTTTTCCTGTCCAAATCAGTATGTGCTCAATCACACTGCAATTCAGTGGAATATCCAGTTATTTTCAGCCTAAACATGTAGTTTAGCAGTTAGTGGTCATTCTTTAGTTCATAGCAACTTGAGGTACTGAAAATATAATTTATTTTTAGCATCAGATACAGTACATTTCTTCAGAAACTCAGTGTCTTTGACAGTCTACAGATGTTCTTATTCTTTTTGTGTGTGTGTGTATACACATATGTGTGTATATATATACACACCTAACTCTATATAAAAGTGTATATATTCTCTCTGTGTATATATACCTGTATTCTCACTAACACAAGCAAGTGTGAATTAAGTAATTTGGATTGCTAAGTACCAACTAAAGTTACACTGTAGGCTATATGAACACTAGAACAATTATCTTCTTACATGAAAGCATATAAATTTAAATAAAATGTTACTTGCGTTTTTAACACTTGTGATTGATAACTAAATTGTAGGTCCAGATGATGGAGCAAAAGATGAAAAGATTGTCAGAAGAACTGAATTGCCAAAGACAAAATGCTGAGAGTGCTCGTCAGTCTTTAGAACAGAAAATAAAGGCAAAGGAATATCAACAGGTAAGGCAAGAAGAGCTTTTTAATTTTGACTTGCTGCAGAGAAGAAATCACATGCCTTATTTTGTGTATGTGCTTTTCAGTTATTTGCAGTCACGCTCAATAGAGACGTGAAAGTTGCAAAGGTAATTGAAAAACTGAAAACAAACATCCCAATAGAGGGGAGAGGCTGTTGAAGAGATGCAGAATTGTGTTAGTATTTGCTAGACAATAGAGAATATGTGTGAGAACCAACTGAGATACAAATCCATGAGAAACTAGGCTTCATTGTTTGCAGAATTACATATATGTAAGTTCAAACTTAATAACTCCATTTCTTCTGTGGAATCTGAGTTAATTTTTCATGCATCTTGCAGACAAGAAAATAATTTCTTTATGATTGTATCTATATTAGTCTAATTTTGATTCATACTCAGAAGACGGTAAAATATGAGATCAGCATTTAATTTGATGATGTCTATTTATAATATTTGGCCGTCAAATCCAATTAAAAGGCTCTGTTTTACACATTGTGGCATCGAAATTTGTGTAATACTGTAAAAATTCTGATCTGTGCGTTTTCTTCAGGGAGGGATTTTTCCCTTCTGTCAAACCTAGGTACTGGTGCTGGTCCTACTGAATTCCATCCTGTAAAGCCTTGTTGGTGTGCTCCTTATTACATTTCTGTTTCTAGAAGGCAGGTGAGATCCAGGAATGTATTTCGTGAACTTTCAGAAAGGCCTGAGGAGCTCCAGGCCTTGTTCCGAGATGGTAACACAGGCTAGTTTCAGAGTTGCACTTGCATCAGGGCATGGTTTCCAATGTTCTCTCTCAAATTTTATTTAAATGTTTCCATCTTAGCTTGAAATTGAAAAAGTGAGACTTGTATCACCTTACTTCAGACATCTGAAATCTAGGTGTCAGTCTAAGCTTGTTACTTAGGCCTCTACTTTACTCTGTAGAGACAGAGGCACCTTCAGAAGGCAGGTTATTCCAGACACCGTAGATGTGAGTCTTCACTCTGGAGCTGGATGTTTTCTTGCTGGCAATGGAAGGAGCCTCCACTCTTAGCTTAGATGTGCGTAACTAATTTTTTGACATCTAAAACTAGACGAAGCACTTCTTTTGTTTGTTTTGAGCATTCATCTAAAGAAAGAAAAGTTTTCTGCAGTTTCTGTCTTATACTGTAACATGTAGGGCTTAGGAAGCAGAGTCTTTTCAGTCCATCAGCTTTAGAAATAATTATTGGGGTGCTTTGGGAGATAAAGACATTGAATTCCTCATTTCATTAATAAGGAGTGCACTAGGGTCCGAAGGGCCTCTTTGCATGAGCTTAGGAAATGCTCCTGACCAGAGGTTTGCAGAAGAGCTCTTTGGAGCTAATGTGTACTTTACTCGGCATTAGTTACTAGTGTCGGCTACTGTGACACACAGCTGGTGTCACATCTTTCCTTTCTAAATTTTATAGAGCTTCTGTCACCTTCTTGGGTGGGAATGCAGTTGCAGACTTATCTATATTGGGTGCTATGTAGAAAAACGCTAAATTTTAGAGATATATGTATGTATGTACACACACACACGCACACACATATATATTAACATTGATCTTTGCAGGTTTTCTGTTTGTGACAGTTCCACACTCATCTATACTTTCCCTAATAAACAAGAGCTCTTTCTGTACTGGATGCCTAACTGATGTAGGGAGCGCTTGGGCCTGTTGTGTTCATTTTGCTCTCAAGCAGAATGTAAGGGGTGCTGGCATCATTTCACAGATATGACTGACTAAAATACACTGACTTGTGTGCAGGGGTTCATGCACCTGGGAGCCAGAGCCACATTGCAGAAAATGCCAGCTCTACTTCCTTCACCGTGAACATTTCCTTTCTTTTGGTGTGTTCTTGTTTGTTTTTCTTTTGGTTTTTTGTTTTGTTTTTTTTTGACTACTGACAGTATGGTACTGTGCCTTTTAGTGAAGCAACTTACCTGTATGAAGTAACTACGTCTATACTCTAAAACTAATAAGAGAAGCACAAGAACTTTATTGCCTTTTACCTTTCACAGAATCTTAGAACTTGTTAGTAGAGCATATTGCAACTTTTGCATAGCAACTGTTGCTGATAAATATCCTGGGTTTTTTCCTTCATTGCTTTTTATTACCCTCACACCTCTTATTGTTTTACATCCTAATAAACCTCTGAAATCTGTGCGGAATCACAACTATAAGGTTCAAAGGCATAGAAACAGGCCTTATGAGAAATGACAAGTACAGCTGTTTATCCTAATGGATACCTACTTGGCATGTTGTGAGATCCACACAAACTATATTGTCCTTGTACAGACTTCAGGAAGTCTGTTTTGGGAACACTATTTTCGGTGCAATTTTCATGGCTGCCCTTGGAAGATTATCTTGTTGCTCAGTTCCATGCTAGGTATTATTTTAAGACTATTTTTTAATTTTCCTAGGAAAAAAAATTGACCCTATAGTATGGTAAGTAAATAATAGCAGAGATGAATTTGTCCATTGGTAGTGTAATATAATTCTTATATGAAACTTATCTTTAAGATGAAGAATTTTAATACCATTACTTTCACTAGTTTTAGATTACCTTTTTTATTTTTCCCCTGTTCTGTGATAGAAATGTTGCTGTAATGGAGTTTTTAAGTCGATGACATAAATCAAGTTAGGGCTGTTCTTGCCCCGTGACATTTGCAGCATGCGTCAAAGTTTCTAAACTGTTGTTCGCTGTGTAAGACAAGTGTCTCTGAGCAGGCAGTATCTGCTAATGAAAATCAGTTGTTATCGCACCAGTAACCAAAACAGAGACTTGTTGCAGTTATGTGTTTATTTCTTTTCTACTGTACCACTGTTTTCTAGGAACTCTCTTGTCAGCAACGTTCCTTACAAATACTGGGTCAGCAGTGCAACCAGATAAGAAACAAACTGAATCAGGAGCTACAGCAAGCCAAAAATGACTTCAACGCTCTGCAGGCAGAATTTGGCCAAGTAGGCTTTTTTTTATACTAAAATCTTCTTCTAGAGCTGGTATTTAGTTATCTCAGCAGTACTGCCTTAATTTAATTATACATAAAGCAAAAAATAATTAATGTAGGGACTTGTATTAATGTCTTGTACAGTTTGTATTAGCTGTGTTGTATTGGCCATTTCCCACTGGAATACTATGTATTTAAATGTGAATTACAGGCTTTTAAAATTTGGGGCTAGTCTACTTCCCATAGGGAAGGAAATGTGAATGCAGAGCAGTGCAGCAAAAATAAATCTGTTAGAGAGGAGTGGCTAAGGCTGATCACAAGACACTTAGATATAAAACTTGCAGAGGTGCAGTTTGATAGAGCTAAACTGATCAATGAGTAGTTGCCCTTTGGAACAACAGTCCCATTTCACACACTCTGGCCATGCACTCCTGGCACTTCTTTTCTAGCAGTGCTACCCCTCACATGACCCTGCAGAGAGCTGATTCGGGAGCTAAAACAGCAAAGAAAAAATTATATATAAATTAGCATATGTGTACACAGGCACAAGTGTTTGCTACCAGTTTAACTCCCTGAACTGGTTCTTCACACAATCAGATGAATGTCAGGGCTTGTGTAAGGAATAACATCAGTACAAAGGAGGTCTTCCACAGCTTTGGCAGCAACTAGCTATTAGAAGACACTGGTTGTCACAAAACCACAATTTTAAGGAGGTTAGAAAGCAGCACAAGCCTAAAGAGTGGGTGACCGGAAAAGAGGAATGTTTAAAAACCTCAAAAATTTCTTGAGAGCAGCTCTAAAGCAGCAGAGCTAACTGAATTTCTGAAAAGGGCCACAGATTTTTGAAAGTTACATTGAGAAGCCCCATTAGCAGGCAGGCTAAACCGAAACAGCATTTCTAAAACTGACAACAGCTTTCTTGCAGGCTTGTTTTGTTTTAGAAATAGAGCCATGGGAATACATTCAGTCAAACGTTTTCAGTGGAGTTTTCTTTATATGTATGTTCTTTCGTATATGCTTACTGAAGAAACTGATTTCACAAAGAGAAAAATAGGTGTCCTTTAGTTCTTTCTCCAAGAAAGCTAATTTATTACCTAATGACCTCAGAATAGACTTTTTCCCCCTCAACCCCATTTTTTTGACCTGATAATAGCATTTCCTTCCTTTTTAATCTCGAGCATTATAGGACTATTTGGAAAGAACTAAACCTGCTCAGTTTTCATAAAATCTGTGTCAATGGAGCAATAAGTGCGGTTATGATCCTAACTTTCTGATTCTCATAGCTTATCAAAAAGGCTATTGCATTTCCAATCTCATTTGTATCCTACAGATATCTTTGTGGTGATGTAGCTGCAAGTTGGATGTATTCATCCAATTTCACACAGTCTAGAAATACATACGTTTTAGAGACATACCATCTTTCTGGTCAGAGGCAAAGGAGCGAAAAGGCATGAAGCAGCTATTTTCTAAACCTCTGTAAAGCAACCTTAGGTTCATGGTGAAATAAAATAATGTGGTTTTATTTTGTAACAGAATGTTGGCGTTCAAGAACAGGAACTTAAAAAAAAAAAGTTATATGTGCTTGTGAATACAATGTCAATTTTCAACATTCTTACAGATAACAGCAGTGAAACAACGCTTGGAACATGATACCACTGATCTCACCCAGAAGCTGTGCAGAGCAGAGCAGGCTTTATTAGCAGCCCAGGCTAAGGAAACTGATTTGACAAGAAGCTTTGAGGTAACCAATGCAGAATAATGATTAATGGAATTAAGAGCATAAATTGGCAATCTGTAAACATTAATACTGTTGAGCATTTACTCACATAGCATATTTTCCCATAACCAATCTTTAAACACTCTTATGGATTATCTTAACGTATCTTGGTTGTACCTGCAAAATGAGGTCTTCACTAACATCGTGTAGATTAATGCAACTTGTGGAATTGGCTGCGTGGTTAGGATTCATTGCTGTAATCCTTCTGATATGATTCTAGTTCATGTTGGACTTCTCTCTTATCAAAAATAGGTTTTTGTTTCAAGAGATTCTTGCTTTTGATTCTGAAATAAAAATGTATCGATACTTGTCTGATTTTAAAAGTGAATTCTAGAAGCATTGACTACTGCTTCGATGCGCACTGCCAAACTCAGCGATTTTGTACAAAGGCTTACTATATCCTCTTTAAAAAAAAAAGGCATTTTTCTTAGAAGAAACACAGTCCAACAAATATACGCTGCTGTAAAAACTTCCCCTAAATAAAGATAAATTCAGAGAAATCTTTGGATGCTGCCGTACTACCTCATGTTCACACATGCAGAAATATTTTTCAGTTTAATGTCTCCTTTGTCTTCTCAGTTATATGGTTTTGCTTTGGTGGCAGTTAGAGCAGCTAAACTAGAAATTGTTACAGTTATGCCACTAAAAACCTCTCAATGCAAATTTTCTCCTTTATTTGGAGAATCAAAAGTAGAAGAAGAGAGTGCTTAATACCGATGTAATCCTTGTCACAGTTTGTTTTATTTAAACACTCTTATTTTGGTTTCTTGCCTGTTGTTATGAGCAGATATAAAATAATCTGGTATGATTTCTGCCAAAAAATTTACCCGTCAAAATTCTATGAACAAATTCAAAGTAAAATAATGGGTTTTGTTCAGATCAGTACAAATGTTGGTACAACTTTAGGATATTGTGAAAGTTTAGGTACATCCATGCTGGTGGATTACAATGTCTGGGAACATTCCCAGCTATTGGAATGTGACTATTTATACTGTTAATTGTTAGAACAGTGCTTCACATGGCTTTGGCCCAGCTGACTAGCACTCTTTCATACAATTCCCAGGCACAGTTTGGGAGTTCACAGGAGCCTGGGACCATTCTCAGCAAGTAGTTTGGTTAGAGCTGGCTTTAGTGGTACATATATGGGCTGTTCCATGCCGCTTGGCCTGGATACCAGATAGTGGTCCTCAAAACCTATTTAGTAAATAAAGGTAACTGGTGCCTTCCAGTGATAAGGCTAATCAAGATTATTTTTGTTCCTCCAATGTATCCCAGAGGAGGAAAGCCTCTATCAAACTTCTACACATTTTTAATGTAATGTTTCATAATTTTAGACAAAAAAAAAAGATAGCTGTTATCAGATATTGTGGGCTCATGCCTTTTCTGGCTTTGAATTATGGAGTGAGGTTAGATACAGTTTTTTGAGATCCCATTGTCAGAGAGCATCTAATTTGTGAAAACACCTTTTTTTGCTGCAAATTCCTGGGTGCGCTTCATTTTATCTACCAGTCTTGTACCAGTCTTACAAGGCTGTAACTATAGTCAGATTTTTTTTTTCTTCATATTTGTTTGTCTTGGTCAGACAATTGAACAACTGGTGACAGTGATGTTGTATTAGAACATGACCAATAATTTATAAAGAAGCTTAGTCTGGGGGAGGTTGTAATATTTTTAAGAAATTGGTAACATTACAGTTCTCTATCTTAAGGCTCGCACATGAGGAATCATGGTATATATTAGCAGAACTTAGGGCATGGTTTGTATTCTTCATTCTCATAACACAAAAAATTACATCAAACTGTTTCAAAGTCTTGGAGGCTTTGTTGACAGCAGACTTTGTTTATAGCAAAAGAAAACGTGAGTGAGATTGCTGTTCCTTTTCCTTTATTAAAGGGAAATTGTTGTGCTCTTACACTAATGGTCTAACTACCCAGTGGAGAATACAGTCGTTTTCAGCTGGTTAGTCCACTGCTGTGTTTAGTCCTTACTGTATAATAAGACTGGTGTTCCAAAAAAGTGTCAAAACAGATACACTTGTGAGACATACAGGATATGCTTAGCCTAAGGACTACTAAGCTTTGCAATGGTGGTGATATCTCAATAGCTTAGCAGTTCTGGCATCTTAGCATATGGTTTACATTTTGATGGTGCAAGCAAGCCCATAGCTATTCTTGGAAAAACTGGTCAGTCAGTCCCCAAACTGCTTGTAAGCCTGCCCAGTGAAGAGTTTCTCCAGAATGATAGTACTACCTGTATATAGGTTCTGGAGTTTGCTTTGCTTTGGTTTTTGCTTTCTCAAGGGACAATTGCAGAATAGCTAACTTGAGTAATACAACGTACAAGTAGAATTGATAAATGGATTGAAACCAAATTGATTCTTTTGCTTATAGCTTTGGAAAGTATAAATGGCTAGTTACTGTCAGATACTCAACCCATTAAATTATGGGTTCCTGGGTTTTGCTGAGTGCTGCTTATTGGGAATGTTTGCACTAAATCAAAATAATTGGACCTTTCAGCCATTTCAATTCCTTAAACTTGTTTGTGTTTTTTTCTGTAGATCACCCTAGATTTTCTAATGAATGGGCTTGTTTAGTTTGTGTACTTGTATGGCATCTGCATATGGCACTTTGAATGCAAGAAGTTTGGACACTGGTACTTCTTTGAAAAGTTATTGTGAAGATTTCTAGTAAACTTTCTTCATTGAAACTTATGTGACTAGATTATTTTTTTTTAAACTGTGGGTAGAGAAGGCTTTGAGTAGAAAGGAAGGTAACTGTTAGTGACATTGACAATTATAATCATGTTCTGAGGGTGATTTATTTATGTTGTTGCAAAAACAAGCCTGCCATACCAGCAAGCTTTTAATTTTTTTCATCCACACCTTTCAGTTTTTTGGGCTTGGCTTTTGTGAATTGCTGCCCATCTGCTAGTAGTAAGTGGATGAATAATTGATGGCCTGTTTCCAATTGGACCATGCGAGTTTCATGCCATCTGTTGTTCAGCAGCACAGGAGTTTGGAGAAAAAGGATTAGTTTCCTTAAAAGAACTTTTATTTGACTTCCTAGATGCAATGTAGCTACGTAGGTTTTTTTTGTGGTTTTTTTTGGGGGGAGTTGTTTTGTTTTTTAAACTAGATTTATTTGGAAGAAATTACTCTTAATGGCAAAACAATCCTCTGAAAGAGTAAGCACTTCCAAATAAAATTTGACCAGTGTTGCCACGATGAGGATGATCAGTGGAAAGAGACCTTGTCTCTACATGAGATGATAGGTGAAATCTGATCTGTAAATTTCTTGTTAATTTTGATGTCATTGCAGGGATTTGTTTCCTTTGTTGCTTTGGGAAAGTACCCTAACTTCATGACTCAGATTTTGTAGGATATGTCCTGTCCTGTCTCAGTCTGTTTGGGGCAGGTCGTGTGAAGCTGTTTGCTCTATGCAAACAGAGGGCATGCTAACTACGTCAGCAGGTAGCATCTCTCAGATGCTGTCAACTAATTAAGAACAGTTCAGCTTATGTTCCCAAGCAGTGCTTAGAAACCCAGGTATAGCTTCCCAAAGACATAATAGGACCTAATGGAATGTCTCTCTTTTGATTTAAGTGGACAGAATTCTTTGATCTTCTTGGCAATTCATGTGAAATATGGGCTAATTTTGTTTTGTTTTAGGAAGTGAAGCAGGAGAAAAACCATCTTGACTGTCAACTTGAAAAAAAATTGCAAGAGATCCGCCAGCTCGAAGAACTGAATACGATCAAGCAATCTCTAAAGCAGAGTCAGAATTTTGCAGAAGAGATGAAAAGTGAGTTATGTATTTAAATTTGCAGAACTTCTGTTCCATGTTTAATGATGTATGTTTCCTGAAATCCTGTAAATTTAATTGTGAATTAAGTAAAAACATTTCCACTGTGGGATATGATTAGTGTTTTTAACCAACATTGAGTTTGTCCTAAATGGAAATTAATTTTTGTCTATGAATATGTACAGTTCCTGAAGATACACAATTTTGAAATTAATAGAACTGTACTGAATTTATCAGCAAACTGAATTTCGTAGAATCTACTTAGACCAGGAAACTTCTGTTTTGTAATTCTTCTGTGTTTCACAGAGTTTAAAAACAAAACAAAAGGTAGGAAAATGTTATGTAACCACCCATAGTTGACTCTTGCTTGCAGTGTTTGTTTCTAATTGAGAACACAGGTTTTCAGGAATTGAGTTGAAATATACCTTGTAGTTCTGGATCTGGCTGAAAAAGGGAGATAGATTCCCATTTGTTTCTGTGCATCCAGTTTGTGTCTGTGCATCTGTCAAGCTTCACATAAGATTTCAAGATGAAGCTTTTGAATTTGATTCTGTCCTCCTTAAAATTAATGACCAAACTTTCAATTATCTTTCAACTGATGATTTGGTTTTTATCCTTGGTGGTTCTTAGTCTGTTCCTATCCAGGCAGGGAAACAATTATGACAATTTGGAAAATGACTGTGTAGAATTAGACATTCTTTAGCAGAAACAGAGTATAAGACTGACCTACAAGAAGGTCAGATACTGGAATGAGACTTGTCCTGTTATTAAAAAAAAAAAAAAGGCAGTGCTACTTTATATTAAAAAAATTGGTGAAAATGAGACACAGAAACAGCAGGTAGTTACACCTGAGAAGTAAGGACTGACCAGCTTGGAGTGCAGACTTGTATCAAACTGCAGGGTGGAAACTTGACAATGTCTATGAATATGTAGTGTCCGATAGCCTAAGGTGATATAAACATTCCTTTATCCAGTGATACAACTAGAAAGTAATGCTTCACACTAGAATGAGAATTGAAAATAGTGAAATTAAATAGTAATAATATTTCATTTTGAAAATTGTCAGTAGAATTGTCAGTAGAATTGTCCATATTGGAAGGCAAAGATTTCATGGTGTTTTATTTTACAGGTAAGAATACTTTTCAGGAAGCGGAGTTGAAGTTACTGGAAGAGAAACTTAAAAAGCAAGAGAGCCCCCTTTTGCTAGAGAAGCTGAAAATAGCTTTAGCTGACATAGAAAAGCAACAAGATTCTACCCAAGACCTGCTCAGGGAAAAAGATAATCATATTAAAGAACAAAACTGTAAAATAACTAAAATGGAGGAAGAATCAGAAGCTTTGCAGAGGCTCCTTGAATTCAAGCAGAGAGAATGTGAAGAATTGCAAAAAGAGGCTATTGCTTTTTCTCAATGGAAAAATGAAAACGATCATCTTATAAATAAACTTAAGTCTGAAAAGGAAGGTATGCTGACTTATATTAAGGACTTGGAGAGTTCCCTTCAAAGTCAGCAAATCAAAAATCATGAGCATAGTGAGAAACTCAGAATGGTGGAAACTGAAAATGACAGGAAAAACACAGAGATTAGAGAACTTAAAGACATGCTGGACTGTAAAAATGCAGAATTAGAGCAACAAAAAAAAGCTTTTGACGAACTTTGGCAGAAAGCAGAATTTTCTGATAAAAAGTACTGTAAAGAGAGAGAAAATATGTCCTGTAAAATATTCCAGCTTACCAACCAAGCTGGTGAGCTAGAAGAAAAGTTACAGTTAGCAGCAAGTGAAAGACTGCAAAGGGAGCAATGTTATCGTGACCTGCTTGATGAATATGAAAAAATCTGTCTTGTAAAAGCAAAAGATACTTCAGAAATGACGGAAGATGGAGAAATTAACTTACAAAGTGGTGAAGATAAAACTGGTTTAGATAGTAGGCAACTTGCAGCAAATAACTCTATTGCTGAGGATCAAGGATGTTCAGGAGTTCTTCTAGAGGAAGGAAAAACTAAGGATCTGGCCCTTTTACAAGATCAGATCTCTTCTCTTGAGACTTTCTTAGGGACTCAAAAGCAGCTAAATTCAAATCAGCAGCAGCAGTATGAAGACTTAGTGCAAATAAAAGGTGAAACAGAAGAAAGATTATTTAGTGTAGAACAGATGCATGAAAGCTTTGTGACAGAAACTAAACAGCACATTAGTAACTTGCAAGCAGATATTTCAGCATATCAGAAATTAGTTGAAAAAACTTTAGCTCTTCTTGAGGAAAAGGACATGCAACTGCAAACTCTAAATGAAAGATTAGAGAACCAACAAACTGAGCTTCAGGATTTAAAGATCAATAATAAATTGCTTGAGGATTCAGTAAGGCAACTGAAGCTTATGTCTGGAACATGGGATTCAGGGAAGAAGGACATGTCTTCAATTATTTCCTCATATAGCAAAAAAATGGAGGAGCTTACTGAAGAAAATGCAGCCCTTAAGGATTTAAGCAGAGCTTTAGAGGAAGAGCAAATAACTTTACTGGAAGTGAATAAAAATATTTCTGATAGTTTAAAGCAAAAAGAAGAAATAATTTCTGAAATGTCCGGAAAACACAAGGAGGAAAGACAACTTATTGAATCAAGAACTGAAGAAATCAAAGCAGAGCTTAAAGTTTTGCAAGCAAAGTATAAATTGATGGAAGAAGAAAATGCAGATGTGATGGGCATTCTGAGAGAGCAGACAATTAAATTTGAGGAAAAGAAAGCAAAATTAGAACAAGAGAAACAGATATTTAGTGAGACTAAAAATACCTTATGTAAACTAATAGCCTCAGAAGAAATAAAAAAGGATTTGGTTCAAGAACTTCAGCAACTGCAGTCAGAATGTTCTGATATCCAACAAGTGCCTTCTACAGAGCTTGACTCTTTAAGACAGGAAATGTTAAATGTCAGGGCAACACAAAATACAATGCAAGAGAAATGTGATACCATATGTCAGGACAAGGAGCAATTGAGGAAGGAACTAGAAACAAAAAGTGAACCTCTAATGTGTGATGTTAGTTGTGAACAGAGACTCCATTCAGAACAGTTGAGGAAGTCCATGGAAGACAAGAATGCTGAGCTGAATAAATACCAAGTTAAACTTGAACTTCTTCAAATGGATTTTGAGGACAGAGAACTCGCCCTAGAGAACTACAGATTAGAAGTGATGCAACTGAAGACTGCTTTAAAAGGCATGGAAGTAGAACTTGAGAGAAATGAGAGAGAGAAAGAGAGACTGCAGCAAGAACTACTGTCTGTTAAAGAACTGAAAACTTCAGATTCTCTGCTTACAGTATTAGAAGATGGCCACTCATTGGAGTGTAATTATGATAGTGTTTCCCAGAATTGTGACAAAATAGGAATGGATGAAAGTTATTCATTGATCTTGCTGGTGTCCTCTTTGCAGGTAATGATAAACAATCTCAGCGAGCTCGACAAAATGTGCGAGAGGTTGCAGAGTGAGAACATTGTATTAGCCTCTGGATTTAAAGACTCAAAACCCAATGACATCAAAGGTATTAATGAAGTGGTAGAGGAGAAAGAGAACATAATGAATGCAGATAAAAATTTAAAAGTGGAGAAAGCTGTTTTCCCCTTTGCACTTATGGATCAAAATGATAATAATGATCTGAGAAGATATTTTGGTAATAAGGAAATGTCCTTCAGACTTAAAGAATGCGATACTGGACACAGTTCTGACATCAAAGATTTAAAATTGTCCAGCAAAGAAATTAAAATACACTTTACTGAAATAAGAGAGAAGCTTTTGTCTTTCCAGAATGAACATATAAAATTATATGAACAACACTGCAACTCAAAAATATCAGAGCTACAGTCTTATATTGAAATATTGAAGGCAGAAAATTCTGCGTTGTCGACAAGTCTGAGCAATGCTCATATAGATTCTGTAAGAGTACCACTATCACATAGCCAAAATGACATGCTGTATAAATTAGATGAAATTAAGTCCACAGTTTCTTCCTCAGATCCTTTTGAAAGTCCCTGTTCTATAGAAGTAAGTGAGGTAGTTGATTCTTGTAACAGTGGTACACACAAATGGATGGAGGAAATGAATCAGCCGGACAGTTCTGCAGAAATAATTCCAGAAGGTGCAACAAAAGTTCTGGTCAAAAATTGTCGTCATGATCAGAGATTGGACTCTGTTACAGAGCCCAGGAATATTACTCCTAGAAGGTCTAACCTTGAGAGTAGAATCGAAGAACTTCAGATGCTGTGTCAGACACATGAGAAGGCCATCAAGATGCTCAAAGACCAATTTCACATTCAAGACAATATGAAAAATGAGGAAACACAAGAGCTGAAGAAAGTTATACTTTCTGAAAGAAAAGAAATAGATCATCTCAAACAGCAAAATCTATCTGACAAGGAAGAATGGCAGCAGAAACTGAATAACGTGACTGTAGAGATGGAGTGCAAACTGGCAGCAGAAGGAAAAGAAACTGAGAATCTGTCTTTGGAACTGGAAGCAGCAAGACTCCAACTACAAGTTCTTGATTTAAATTCTCATTCACTGCTGTGCACGGATATTAAAAATGTAAGTGTAAGTAGTTGCTGTTATGCAAATCAGTTTTATGTAAACCCTTTGATTTATGGTAAGCCAAATTCAAATTTTGAAATGACATGTATTTAAAATTGTGTCCTACAGAAGCAGTACTGTTCTTTAGAGAAAGCAGAAAAATAATCCATACGTTGAGTTCTGGTTTATGCATTACAGGAATCATGAGAAATAACAAATGATGACAAAACCAACAAGTTTAGTCTGTTAGAGTTGTGTAATAATCTGTGCTACTTGTTTTTTCTTCAGGCCTATGTCAGTGTGGATTCTGCTGTGTTAGTGGGGATGCATGCGCTGTATGTATCTGTACTGTGCTTAGATCTCTGATTTAACACAGCTGGTTAAAGATAAACACGCTTCCCATGTCCCTTCATAGGACAAGCAAACTAGGACTGCTTCCACACCACTAATTCCTTTCAGTACTGTCAACAGCAGGACAGAATGAGCTGGTAGCAGAACAGTTAATTTTCATTTCAGCATGAATTCCTTCAAAATACCTAAGGGAACAAAAAATTTGAGAGTCAGCTCTGTCTTTTTTAATTTTTTCAGCACTGCAGATGGTGTGCAACCAGTGAACTAGGTTTTGCTGCTCCTTGTAAGGAGTGGCAGAATCAAGATTTCACTCAGAATGGAGGAAAATCTGTTTAATTCTTGCGTACAGTGTATTACACTAGTTCACCTTAAAAATAAATCTAACAGGTGCATTTTCTGCTTGTGCGAATTCTAGTTTTGACCATTAAGTCCTGTGCAAGTAGCCTCCAGTGCCCAGCCAACATGGACTCAGAAATTAAAGTTTAACACCTCTCTCGCAGTCAGAGCATCTTGAAGTTCTACATTTTGGCCACTGAGCAACGGTTCGTTGCAGAGAAAATCTTTCACTTGTATGTGTTGCTTGCAATTCACATAGAGCATCCACACTGATACATAGACACTTGAAGAAAGACAGACTGTTCCTTATAATACATAGCTAGAGCTTTTTTAAGATGAAGTACTTGATGCAGATCATTCAGTTGCTGCCTTAAACCTGGTTCTTTTTTGGAGTCCTCAAGTTTTGAATTTACCCATTTTTATTGTTTCCAATGAGAGCATCAGGTGGCGCCAAATGTAAGTCTAGCTCTGATAGACAGTGGTAATTTGGAAAAGGGATTGTTTGAGGGTTTGGGCTTCTGTCCCTTGAAGATTCTCAGGTGTCTAATAGAAGGTGAGCAGTAAACCTTTCCCCCGTTAGTGATGCTAATAATTTTTCACTTTGTCACGAAGACACCTTATGTTCCCAAAGTATGGAGGCACGCGATATCTTTGCGCTGAGTCTTTCAGTAAATTTGGCTGAGATTTCTCCCTTGGTATCTTTAAAACCTTTTGGTCAAAGATGCATGCATGTATAAATAAGTGTAAATCCTTTCCATAGGAAAGCAGATTCTGAAGTAGAGAAGCATACAGGGGCAACAGGTCAGCCTCAAAGGGGAGATCGGTAGCCCAGCTGA